CTCGAGTTCCTGAAGGGGAACGTCTCTAGGTTACGTATGTAACCATGGTTCCCCGAGGGAACGAGACGCTGCGTCTCTTTGCTATACTACCTGCATCCCTCCAGGCGCTACTTCATCGAAGCTAACTTCCGCTCTGCCGGATGCACTTTTATACTTCCTGGCGCTCACGTCACTCCGCTCGTGACGTCTCGCTGCTCCATTGGACTGATTTTACACGTGCTTCAGAACACGGTCACGCAGGGGCGTTCCCAAAGCGATCTCGACGCAGCTTGAGTTCCTGAAGGGGAACACATTTTTACTCAAATTAATCAAAATGGATTTATAGTAGGGCTGTGCGATTAATCGATCGTTTCCGCACTGAGTCTATTTCTGCTGTGCTGTAAGCGCTGAATTAAAGTGACAGCGCATTATTCGCGGTAAAAATTAACATGCATATAATTAAAGTCTACTGTTTCACAGTCAACAGTCAACACATGGCTTTTTGGCTAGATTTAAAACAAGGAAAAGTGCACTTTTAGATAAACAAGGCAATAATAGATGGCACTCGTGGAGGTAGGAAAACAAAGTTATATTTATTGAGTTTAAACGTGAATATATCTATGAAAGATTGTATTACTGTACTGTGATAAAAGATAATCACAATGCTGAATAAGCATTTTCAGAAACAACGTTTGGATTTGATATACTGTACACGCACTGCAGACGGAGTATGTGTGAACGTGGCGCAACAAATCTAGTTCAACATCTGAGGCAACGCCACAAAGAGCTCTATGACCAAAGCATGGCAAAAAAAAATCCCTGGACACAGGATTTTTTTAAATTTTTTCTGCCATATGTCTATTCTAGAGACATTTTGTTGCACCTTTACTTAGTGATTATTTTGCCTTATGTCTGTTCTACAGACATGTTACAGCTTCTTGATAAAGCTCTAATTGGTTTTCTTTTGGAAATATGTTTCAAATTCACACTGAATGCATTAATGACTGTAAAGCATGTCTGCGTGTGTCAAAATCGTGATTAAAATTGAAATCGCAAAATTGATCAAAGAAATCGCGATAGGTTTTTTTTGTCCATATCGCACAGCCCTACTTTCCAGTTGTTTTATCAAATTAGGCTTATAGAGACTGCATTCACAAAGGGCATTAAATGCAGTTGTTTTAAGAATTGTATTATTTCCAATGATGTTTAACTGGAAATGACTGTTTTTAAATACAGTAGGGCTTTTCACGTTTGAAATAGTTAACCCTGGGTCACGCTAAACCCCGGGGACACAGAATCCAGGTTCATCCCGCTTCATGTTTCACACTGCTCATAATATACCTTTGGTTAACAATGCATCCTGGGTATTCATAAGCTGCACATTCCTCAAACCTGGGTTAACGTGCTTATTTGCATATTTGCCCTGTCGGTGTCATTGACCTGTTTCTGTAACAGCTCTAGCATTGCGCATCCTCATGTTATGTACTGTCACGTTTTTCCTTGAATGAACTTTTCAGACTATAGAAAAGGGTTCAGAACGACGCTAACCCACTATGAAAAGCCCTCATGATATTTTGAGATTTTGCATGACCATGAGAACTCAGAATGAGAGTCTTTATTCCCATTATGCTTTAATGGGACACCTCCAATACGAGTCACAAAAACACCCACCGAAAGCAACGGTCCAGCAGTCTCTCTTGGTTTCTCCCTCCACGGGCTCCATGTTCACCACAGGCGTGTCTTTCTGCCTGGAGTCCCACACTTTGACTGTGCCTGTTAATAAAACCACACACACACACGTGATGATGCCAACCCTGAAACAACATACAGAACTACCACATTTTGCTATAA